GTCCACTGCTCCCCCAGCTGGCAGGGCTCAGGTCAGCAACTGGAGAGGACTGGCCCAGAGACGTCTTCCTTCTCAACCCGCCCCCCGCCCCCCGAATTTATCCAGTCCTCACAGTTCTTCTCTCCAGGGCTAACCAGTAGGCCTGGCATCACAGCAAGAAAGGGGCCATCCCTGGAGCTGTCCCCAGGCAAGGACCTTGAAGACATTTGCTCATAAAAGGAGAAAACCACTGCCCAGCAATTGCTCTGGCCAGGCCGCCTGTAGGATCTCAGGGCACCAGAATCTTCCAGACAGCTTCCTGGCCACCAGCAGGGCCAGCCTTGTGATCTAGGATCCTCCCTGCTGCGTTATTTGAGAAGCTTTCTTCCTGCCAGCAGTGGGCCAGGTGCCCTGGACGCTGGTGGCCAAGAACAGGCTTCAAAAGGCTAAGTGGAAGGTGACCATCTTCAAAGGGCCCTCCGACTTCCCAGAAAGCTCTGGCACATGGCCCTGACCCGAGGTCAGAGTTTCCTGCAAAGGAACTTGTGACGGCTCCATGAGGGCAGGGACCACATCTGTCTGGTTCACTGGTGTATCCCCAACAGCCCCGAGCCCCGGGCTGGGATACGGGCGGTGCTCAATATTGATTAGTCATTAACATACAATGACCTCCACCAAGGAAGGAAGGAAGACATGTGGAAAGAGCCCAGCTTTGGGGGTCAGACGGACCCATATTTGAACCCTTCCGGCTCTACTCCTCATGTGCATCCTCATCTACACAGCGGGGATTAGAATACCCATCTCACAATGTTGTTGTGAGCAGTAGATGGAAATCATATGTAAAGCCTGTAGCCCAGGTCAGGGCAAGAGCACTTTCCGTTTTCAGTTCAGCTCTCACCCGAAGCCCGACACGACACTGTGCCAGCGTGGTAGGGGGAATCCCAGAGCACAATTCATTTGTTTAACTCTTACAACCATCCCATGAAGTAGGATCTACTTAAATCCCTTTTGCGTTTGTGGAAAATAGAGGCACAGGGAGGAAAAGCAACTTGCCCAAAGTCTGGTATCTAGAAGTGGCAGGGCCAAGCCTCCTTGCGATTCCAAAGTCCAAAATTTTAGGGGCTACATTTCTGTCTTTAAAGCCATTGGTCAAGGCATGTTTGCACCTATCCCTACCCTGATGTGATTATGGGAGATACCGGACCACACTGCTAGACCGGAGTTTTCAGCGGCAAAACAAAAAGGCATCCAGGCATCCCCGTGGTTCACGGCTTTGTTTTAAACTAATGGCCTGTTCCTATGAAATTCAATCTCAGGCAAGTTTGCTGATCAAAAACCTCTCTCCTCTCCTGTCCTCTTGCTATCTCCTCTCCAACTATCTACCAGAAAAAGAGACACACAGCTATGTAAAAGTAGGAAAAAGGAAAGGAAAGCGGAGAGTGAAAGAAAGAGCGTGAGTGTGAGCGTGCACACCCTCAGGAACAGAGAGGTCTCACTCTCCTAACTATCCCTAAGGACAGCTGCCCACACAGAAGGTCCCGGGGCAGGAGTAGTCTGTCCACATGAAGGCCAACCACATCAAGTCTCGGTGACCCCATGCACCCGAGCAGCAGAGAGAAAATTAAGCCATCTCTTCTAATGGCCCAAACCTCTTCATAAAGAGAGCTTTCCATTTTTCCCCTCTATAAGACTGCATTTGCCCTACTGCCAACCACAGAGGAAATGTCATTACCAAAATAAATCAGTGCTGCACTTGACCTTGCTTCTCAACTGGCTCAGGATTCGTGACATCACAATACACTCTACAAATGCTCAGAAATATTGGAAAACCGCCCCCTCACGTCAAAAACACTTGGTATTTCACTAAAAGGCATTAAATTATTTTGATTTTACTCTATGGAATCTAAAATGCTTTCCAGGTTTTCACTTTCAAAATGCTGAAAAGAAAGAGTACGCTCATAGGACCTTAGGAAACTTCAACTCCTGGTCTGGTTTGGGTGCTGGTTCGTGGGTGGGTAAGATGTAGAGCAGGCCAGAAGCCAGGGAACAATAGGCTCTCACCCCACACTGCTCACCGACTCAGTTCCCAGGTGGTGGGGGCTTCCCCGTGGAGGCTCCCAAGGCAAATTCCCGCCCCCCCAAAGTCACAGGCAGGTCATCGGCAGCTCCCAGGCATCTGGGGCAGTTCTCCTAAGGGCCTAGTCTTCAGCTCCCAAATCCCTGCTAACCACCATGTTTCCCTTTCAAATTAGCAGAAGCAGCACAACTCCTCCATGATGGCCAAAGAGATGGGGTTAATGAGATAGGGTTGCGGGCAGTGTTCTCTCCCCAGGGCAGCTGCTTGGAGATGGCACAGCTTCGAGGACCCTGCAGCAAATGCATTTCCTGCACATCCCCCTCCCCCAATCTGGACACACGACCATGCAGCTGTAATTCCTAATGCTGCTTGCTCAAAAGACCACCCCATTTTCAATCAGGTTGGTCATTAACACAGTAAGTCAATGGAATGCTGATTTAAGGGAAAAAAGAATTTGTATATTAACAACAAGAGCTCTCGGGAAGCACTGGGAATCTGATTGTCGTGGGTATTAAAGACATGCTCCCACAACCAGCACTGTGTCTGTCAACATACTCCTCACTCTTGCTGAGGTACAAGTCACAAAATCACAGCATCACAAAATGCACAGGTCCCAAGGACCCAAAGACATCAACTACTTGACTCTTTTTCTTCAGGGGAGAAAACAGAGACACAGGCCAAGGGGTTAGACTGTCCACTGGGGGTAAAGGACTCAAATCCCAAGCTTCTCAGTGATTTTTCCATATTTAGCCCAGTGCCTCTGACACCCAGTGACCAATAAGAGCTCTTACACACTTATTTCCACAAAAAATTATTTCTATGATGGTGTTACAGGCAGACGGGCTAAGCCTACCACGGCTGCTACGTAAAAAGTAAAATCAACAGAGAAGACAACCAAACTGGAGTTGACAAAATTAACTTTTGCTCTGAATCGCTCTCAGTGTGAAACCTCACTCCTAAAGTGGAAGTGCCAGGATGAGAAATGAAGGGCGGGAGTCACCCCCAACCAGGATGTCCAACACCAGGTCGATATTTTAGATTACAATTTCTGGGCAAACAAATGGGAGTTGAACAAGATAGAGCAGCCTGAAGCCACCTTCCACAGGTAGAAATGAAATCAGCTTCGAAGAAGGCTCAAAGATTAAAGTGCTTTGCTCTGCCTTTAAAATGGGGGAGCAGGGCGGGGGGGGTTGCATCTTTAGATACAAAGGTAAGACCTTGCAGGTCAATAACCAGGCTGGGGAAGGGTAGCCCAGCAAAGACAGACAGACAGACAGACACACACACACACACACACACACACACACACACACACTCAGAGGCCCTGAAACTTTCTGCCCACAGCAGCCGACATGGTTCACCCTGAGTCCATTTCACGAATGGACACGAAGAAGCTTCTCTGGCTACAAAGGATCACATGGGAGCGTAAAACAAATGAAGGCTTGGGCTCTCTCTCCCCCGTGTGTGTGGCACTGACAGGCTAGAGACTCTGATGCTGCAGAAAGCAACATTTCCCTTGTTTCCATTACATCATCCAACTGGGGAAGGGGAGGGCGGGGACCACAGCTGGTAGCAGCTGCACCACCATCTGCTTTCTCCTTAGCTGCGTGCGCCAGTTTGAGCGGCAGTCTCCTACGGCCCCTGATAGAGGAGGCGCGGTATTAAAGGTACAACACCCTATTATGGAAAAGCTTTCAAATTATTTGGAAATAAATCACTTCCATGATAAGTTAACAACCCCAGGAAGGTTGCTGAGCCAGTTCTCTTTGAGTTTCGGTTATTTGTTTGCATCTCTTTAGACTCAGCTACAGTGCAAACTCTGTCAACTCAACGTGCCCAATTAGACAAGCAGAATGTACAAGCAACCACCTGCCATCTGCTTCCCAAAAGGTAAGCAGCCAAAAAAGTACAGGTCTGCAGCTGGAAGCATTTACGGAAGGAGCAGGAATAGTCAAACCTAGTACACAAGCCCCAGACTGGCAACGGCTACATGCTGCTGCCTTCGGCATCCTAAGCCATTCAGTTGACCAGTCTTGTCTTCTTGGGCACTCCTGAAGTTTCCTTTGAAACATACTGCTAGGCATCCCCTTGTAGAAGGGGAGACTGCTGAGAGCCTGGGGGTTAACCCCTTGGCCGGCCACTCAACTGCCAACGTGCAACAAAGCAGTAAAATGGTGGTTTGAAGGTCTGATCAAGCTACACACCCATCTCATCTGGCCGATACAGGGCTGTGTTTAAAAAACAAAGTGCTGGCTTTTAAAAATGAGTGATAAGCGGGTGCCTGGGTGGCTCAGTCGGTTAAGCGACTGCCTTCGGCTCAGGTCATGATCCCAGGGTCCTGGGATCCAGCCCCGCGTTGGGCTCCCTGCTCTGCGGGGAGCCTGCTTCTCCCTCTCCCACTCTCCTTACTTGTGTTCCCTCTCTCGCTGTGTCTCTCTGTCAAATAAATAAATAAAATCTTTAAAAAAAAAAAAATGAGTGATAAGCATCTATATTGCTACCTCTTCCTGGGGTGGGGGGGTGGGGAGGGGAGAATCAAGAGATTTGTCAACACGAGGCCCCACTTCCATTTGGCACCAGTCAACCAGGAGCTACTGAGCGGCAGGCTTCCATGAGATTGGGCACGTGCTCTGAAGAACCATACCCCACCCGTGGGGGTCCGCATACGCCACTACAACTAAATCCTTACCTGGACCCTGAGAGCTCTTCTCTAATGCTGTTGAGTGTGTAGAAGAACAAGAAAACCCCAGAGAATGACTTCCCAATGGTCCTTTACGCACTCTTCTGGTTGGTTGAGATTTAGACCCTTGGATGGCCAACTAAAACTCTACAAAGATCATTCCACCCAATACAATGAATGGATCTCAGTAGAGGGCTAACTGCAATCACCCCTTATCATAAAAGCACATTGTAACATCTCAAAGGAGCATTCCAGACCGCTTACCATACATCTTGCCTTCGTCTGATAAGATGATTTTCCTCCTCCCGCATGGTGGGTAGATAGCCAAGGCTTCCTGAAAGCTCTGCTCAATGTCGGGGCTCCAGACGCCTTCTGCATCATTGTCAATTGGCTTATCCGCAGAGTCGCTCATTCTTTCCATGTTTTCGGCAGGGCTCTCACTGCCGCTCCAGCTGCTGGGCTCAATTTTGGCGGTTGGATTTTCCAAGCCGAAGCCTGGAGTCTTTTCAAGCAAATAAACCTAAGAGAGAAATGAAAAGATAGTATAAGGACAAGGTAATGACCAACAATACTGCTCTTCCTCGCTCTATTACCTATTCTTCGGGCACCAGCTTTGCTTGGAGAAGAACTCCTAGTGGAGAATACAGAATTTGGGGATCCAAGTGGCTTTTGTTCTTTACATATCGCGTTAAACACGCATACAGGTAGGCAGAAACTGGATAATCTTCACAGATGTGAGAACGGGGCTCCCTCAGAGTTGCAAGTTCACCGTGAATCCGGCAAAAACACTGACCAGATGCCTACAACCTACCAGGAGCACTTCGCTCACGGATAATCAAATGTCCACAGCAAAACAAGCTGTTTCAAAGAAAATAAAGTAAAACAATTGCTGTGGCAATTGGCACGATAACTCGAAAATGTCAAACCATCCCAGTATTTGTCACTGAGATCACTGAAATGCAAGACGGTGGCAGGCTGGAGGAAGGAGGAGATAATTTTGTTATCACAAATACTCATTCCACTAAAACAGCAATACCAGGGGCCCTGCATCTGCTCCTGGACAGCATTTTTCAGCAGGGCTTCTGCCCTACACACTCAGGTCACTTTGCCACTCTCTGCTTCTAGACTATAACCTTGAAGCAGGGACCAAGCTGTCCCCACTCCTGCCTTCCCCGCACCGACTACAAGGGGCCAGCGCATTTGCAGAAATGTTTTACACCTACATGGGGCACTTCATCCGGGAGCCTACCTGGAATTTCTGATCACATGAAAACCATAGGGAGTCTTTCATTTATTTTTCTGTAGCACTGAAGATTACAGAACCAAAAGAAATTTTTCTCAAAGATTTATTCCCCTTAAATTATGCATGTAACCTATGGTCATAATGGGATAAGCTTTCCAAACAAATGTCAAACCGGCACAAACACCAATGTGAAAATGATCTAATCCAGTACCCCCTGCTGTCTGCACACTAACATATCAATATCCCTTTGTTGAAAAGGCATCAGATCATTAATTCAAAGGCTTCCCCAAAAAGGGAGAAGGAATGCTCCTGGGGATGGATCGAAGAGGGGAGGCCCCGGGCTTGAGTGGGGAAGCAATCACCTGAGAGCAAGCAACCTGTCTTCTCTCTCCTTCTCTCTCCCAGCTGCCGCCCTCCCACCTGCCCTCCCCCAGCTGTGTATATCAATAGATCCCAGGTGCAGAAACTCAGGGGCCCATGAACGTTACACAATTAATGGTGTAACTAGTGGGTGCTTTTGGCTTCGTACCCTGACAGCTTTTGGGATCTAGCAGCACCTGGATAAAAGAAACCCTCAGGTTGTCTGCTTTTAAATGCTGCCATGGTTCCATCACTCAAAGAACTTGTCAGCAAAATATTTACTACTGCTTACCAACACATGTACATTAACACAGGACTCTACAAACTACCCAATGTTGAGAGGTATCAATTATGCCACAAGAAAAGGTTTCATGATTGACCTGCAGATGAACTCCACAATGCCTCCAGTGTGGGTCTTTTGAATTCTCAAATTATTACTTTTTTTTTTTTGTGGGGATTTTGGAGGCTCACAAAAATTCAAGCTGAACTGTACCATTCTACCCTAAAGTCTGTTCCGCCTCCAAAGCAGTTTATTGGCAAAAGTATGAGAAGATGAGCAAACGCTCTGAGGTAGTGGCTAATCCACCTTGTCCCTCTCTACCTGACCCAAAACCAGAACAAAACAAAACAAATGGCACACACAAAAGCCCAGGCCTGTCCCTGAGCTCTGAGCCGCTCACAGCAGTATGAACTCACTGCAGGGAGCCACATTTTAGCATGAGCAGTGGATGTGCCCAGCATGCAACCACGAAAGCAGAGGGACAGAATCCAGGACAGTGAGGGCCAGCTGAGGGACGAGGGGATCTCTATTTGCCTAAGAAGAACACCACCGTATAAGTAAGAGCCTCAGTCTCCAGACCAAAGCACACCAGCACCCCCTGAGCCTATGCTTGACATGCCTTCTTCCCCTTCCTTCAGCTGGTCATACGGTCTGCACTTGAACATCACCAATGGCAAGGAAACGGCTACCTCCCTAGTACCACTTCCTTTGTACTGGCATGCTGAAATCCTTCTATCTAGGAGGCTAAAACCCATGTCCCGGTTAACTTCCATCTATCCATCCCTTGGAGGTCTATCCATCCCTTGTGGGAGCAAATCCACTCCCCCACCCCCAACACCATTTAGGCATGACAGGAACAGCCCCCAGGCTCCTGACTGTGATCCAGACTAGACATAATTCACATCGTCCCTCTGCCCAGCCCTCAGAAATGCATCCCAGTTTGTCCACACCCTCCATAAATGACACTCAGAGGTGGACCTATGATCCATAAAACCTCCAAGCTCCCAAGTGTTGTTCCTGAAACTCCTCTCTTATGCAACTGGCTTAGGAGCTAAAAACATGAGTTTATATTTATTCCTACTAAATTCCATTATTTTTACCCTTAAGCCATGACTCCAAGCTGGTAAGATCTTTCTGAATCATTAATTGCCAAGCTTAGTGTCCCTAGACATTGAACAACCTCTAAGAGTTGTCTGTCACATGGGGAGGGTGTAGACCCATTCTGTAGAAGCTCCAAAGAAGATTCTGACTCGACATACAGAAAAATTTCCAGCTAGCTGAACTTCCATGAGGGGTGAAGTACCTTGAAGACAGGTAGTAGAGTCTTGCTGACAACCTCTTCAAGTTACCTCTAAAGCTAAGAATCACTAGTCCTTGGTTAGGGAATGCAATATTAGCTAGCATTAACTGATCCATTTTATTTTTTTTTTAAAGATTTTTATTTATTTGAGAAAGAGAGAGAGAGTGTGTATGTGTGAGAGAGAGAGACAGAGAGAGCACGAGCAGGGTGAGGGGCAGAGGGAAAAGCAGACTCTCTGCTGAGCGGGGAGCACGATGCAGGGCTTGAACCCAAGACTCTGGAATCATGACCTGATCCAAAGGCAGACGCTTAACCGACTGAGCCACCCAGGCACCCCTGATCCATCCATTTTAGTAAATACAGGCACTGTTCTAAATGCTCTCATGTTTTTATTCATTTACTGCAAAGGGAAGAACTCTATGTCCAGGCTCTTGCAATTTGGTCAACTGGAGCTCAGCAGGATGGAATTACCTACTCTGGACAAGGGCCAGGACACAGCCCCAGAAACTACCACATACATAATCCACAGAGTTATACAGGCCCTTGGTTTTACAATCCAATTGTAAGATGAGACCCTGTATGGGCAGAGAGTTTCCGATCACAAGACTGGGGCTGGCTGAGGAAAGCTCCCCGTACTGGATACCAAAATAACCATTCTGGCATTCTATTCCTCAGGTCCCTTCCAGCCCGGCTCAAAATCCACCTCATCCTGGAAACATGTATCCAGTGACTCTGAGAGTACCAGCCACACGTTAGGAATATCCTAAAAATGCATCTAATGGGTAAACTACCACCTAATCTACCTGACTTCTGAATGTATAGCAACAAGCATCTGCTTGTTACCAATAATAAGATCTAATCAAACAAGGTGAGCTTAGAATATCTGTGCCTGCAGAGCTAACATCTTCACCTCCTCATACATCCTTTGAGCAAGGGAGTCAACTTTCACTCGATGCAGTAAATGAAGAACACAGTATTGGGGGTGGAGGACGGAGCATGCGGTATTAAGACTCAACCTGACTTGATTTCCAAACCCAGCTCACCGGCTAGCCTCAACACCCAGGCTAAATTAGTTAATCTCGCAGAAGCTCAGGTTTTAACTTTAAAAGGGAGATAAATTCAATTCAATCCCAACACAGGAAAGTCATTAAGGGGTAGAGGGACTCTCCCCTCACAGGACTGCCACAGAGATTTATCGAGATACACTGTGTACCACTCAATGTCCCTGCGTGCCTCCGTTTCCATCATTACCACTTTTCCAACGGCTCATTTTTTCCCTAAAATCCTCCTTGGCTACACTATAATAAATTCCAGAAAGAAATGTTACCAGTGACCCAAACATTCCTGTTAACTGCCCCAATAGCTATATTCCCTAAATGGATCATTCTTTCACAATTACCCACTAACACTTGAGGAGAGGTGACATGATTACAGTGAGATGACATCATATGTATATTTGTCCAATACAAAAAAGTCTGGGGGAAGAAGGGGGCGAGACAGTCCAATGCAGGTGCTTCTGCCACCAACTCCATTCAAGGGACGCACTCACAAGGGGTGTGACATAGGGCACAGGAATCTGCTGCTTCCTTGATCTTAATTCCTGTAGGTCTCTCATAATGTAAGCATCTCACCCACTTACAGGTGATTTAAGAGCTCTTAAATAAAAGGGTTAGCTTTAACTAACCCTCATGATTAATGAAACACCACTGAACATGAGGGTCACAAAAAATCCATACAGCTTCTTTTAGCCAATATCTCAACAGTCTATGAGGCAATCAGAAAAGGGCTGGACTAGGCATTAGGACTGAGAGGCCAGGACCACACAGCACTTGGCCCCCACATGCCTCAGTTTCCATCATTAACACTGAAGGAGGCCAACTAAGTCATTCATCACCTTGTGTTCCCATATACTCTACCTATAATAAAACTTAGTAAGCTGATTTGTTATTGCACCCCATCCATACCCCAGTCTCCTTGAGGGCAGGGACCACAGTATCCCCAGTGCTAGCAGAGTACCTGGAATAATACTCAATGAAAGAAAGAATAAACCAACAACCAGATGACGTGAACATTCTTTGACATCAGTGTGAGTGAACTTATCACCCAGGCTTCCCATGAGAAGGGCAAGAGTTTCAGCATCCTTTCCCATCCCTCCCATCCCTCACCCTGACTCTGGTCAAGATTCTAATGAGAAGAGCTCCAAAGAAAATTACCAAATTAGGAAAATGTAAGAGGGCAGACTTAAGCCATGCAGAGTTTGGATAACCAAGAGTTGGCTGTCTGATCCAATTTTTTATTTAGTAATCAAAATTACAACCAACAGTCCTTCTGTGGTAA